TTTGAGTCCAAGATGGAGAAGGAATTCAAAATATGCCTTTAGCCATCCAAGAGTCCTCCTTTAAGCCAAACTTATAATTATTATTGAAATTTGATCTTCAATCATATTAGAACTCCACAAACCCAGATACCTTAAACTTCCCACAATCAACCAAATACCAAATCACATGGAATTTGGAACACACTACAACAAATAGTATGGATATACGTGTAATTACAGTTATCACGTTTCCAGCAACTGTGATTTTTGTGGGGACGCATGAGACCACCACTCTGTGAGGATATTCGAGAGATACAGCTGAAGTTAATTGACATTGATATGGTAACTGAAATTTATGTAGTTCGACACTAACAATACCGAGAGGTGGGTAAATAGGTATATTATGCGAAATTAAAGTTATTAATTAATTAGCAACATGTCAGCAATTAATTATCTCTAGATGATTAAGCATGCAAGTCAATTTAACCTATGTTTAAATACCGTAGTTAATATAATCAATAAAGAAAGCAGTAAAAACATACGGTATGATCACGGAGAAACCCAACTAGGAAAAACTCCAAACACTTTGCCAATCAATCCACTATAAATGATTCAGACACTTACAATCTACCAAACTAGACGATGACACATATTATATGATCTCCGGACTGAAGTTCTTACAGCTCTTTGGAAACTATGCTCCCCTGCACCAATCCTTAGCTACAATTTTCAAAACTATCCTGGAATCTGCTACCATGCAGCACTCCTAACCTTGCGGAATTGTCTATCTCCTATGGATCACGAAGAGCTCCCAGTTCTTCACCGACTAGAACTCCAGTCAAATTCCCTTGATTTTCAGAAACTCTGACATATGCGGAGGAAAGAACGGTTTGGTATTTACGAAAGTGATGTTTTTCTCACCAAAATAATCTTACAGGACGAAAGTTACAAGAAGGAATATGTATAAATTCTCTCTGATGAAGTTCTATCAATGATCAACCTTCTCTTTTCACGTTCAGATGTGTTTTAGTATTTATAGGTAGGCTAGGAAAGTAATGGGCCGGGGAAAAAGCTTTTAAATCGTGAAATAAAAATTTCCCAAACAACACTGTCGCTCGAGGGAGGGCTCAGTGACAGTCGAGCGACGAAGGTTCTGTTTTTTACACTCGAGCCAATCCATGGAGACAGTCTAGCGAAAATTCACGCCGTATTTTCCTTCTTTTACAATACTCGAACCTTAGACCTAAAAAACCTATTTTCATATAATTGCACATTACTTCTTGATGTTAACCCAAGAACAACTAACCAAGATGGGGGTGAATTGGTGTTTGAAACTTTTTCGACAATTAGTCTCACAATTATTCAATACACAAGAAA